TTAATGCTTTCCCGGCCTAAATGGGTTAATAAAAGTCTGTTAAATGCATATCCTATTTTACTGCTTCCTGTTTTTGTCAGCTAAAAATCAGGGGTTGGGAAATATCATGGAATAGTAACAGCTGCTGTATAAAATAAGTAAATAATGGCACTCTGAGCATATCATTAGAAGTTTTAGCAGCAAAGCAACGTTCATCCCAGAAGGCTCCATGGCAGCAGTCCTAAATAAAAGCTTAAAGTCTTTTGGAACACTAATAAAAATCTGTTTTCTTGGATGCATTAAAAGTCCACTTTCTTTCCTTTAGTTTCTCAACAGTTACTGCAGCACAAAGGGAAATGGCTTAGTGGAAACTGTATGAAAATAAACATATTTTTGTTCAAAATATACCTTAATCTTTAGGGCTTTTAACAAGGAACCAGTGCAGGTCTTGTGAGTTTATAGAATTTAATGATGATCTTGTCTTCAGATTGTATCACGTGTTTAATATTATGTGCTTTTACTGTAGATAATAATTGGGTTCAGTATTACTAAGTTTTTCTGGTCTTGAACTTGTTTTTTTATTCTTATATCCCTTTGGAAAATATTTTTGCAATATTGTAGATGAGGTGAAACATGGGGGAACAGATTAAAAAAAAAAAATAAACACTGTACTGTAACATTGTGATTTTAATTTGCCTTACTAAAATGGAGTAGCTCTGCTAGTTTCACTACATACATTATGACTCAAAACGATTCCAAGTGAGGGGTGCTAAATTGTACATGAAATAGTTTTTTTTTAGTATGTGCAATAAGTTGGCATGTTGCGGGTGATCTACAAAGATTGATATGCAAATATTAAGATGTGCAAACCGATTTCCTTCCACCCATTAAAATTTGAATTTGTTGTGTTTTACTGGCAGTTTGAAAGTGGCCCTTAAAGAAAGATCAGGTTCTAAGCTATGAGGTTGGATGTAAAAGTTATTTTTAGAGCATGTTACTTATGGAGCACTTTACGTAGGTATCTTATCTCTAAGTGCTATGAACCAAAGTAAATAATGTAAATGATAAAAATAACTAAAGCTAAATTTAGAAAAATATGTATCATAAAACATGAAAAAGTTTTCTTTGTGTTTTATTAAAAAAAATAACTGGGCTTCGTGCATGTCCAGGATTTCTTAAAATAAGGGAGAAAAAAAATTCTGTTGCGATGACTTAGAGAAGCGCACTTTTTCTTTACGTGCATAGATTGTCCAGTCTGCCCTACTCAAAAACCCAGCTATGTAATGTGAGGGTCGGGTCCATGATTGAATAAGTCATGTGACTTAGAGCGTTGCTTTCAAAAGGCCATTAGAGACTGTTTAATCTTGCGACAATACAGTATTGACAGTTGAGGGGGGCTTAAACTCAGTCACACGTGTAGCACTCGGAGTGGCTAAAAGTTACACATTACTGCTTTAAAAATACTTCAGTTTCTCCAGTTAGGGATGGAATTTTCTATTTCTGATCTTTTTTTTTGTTTAATGCTTTTAAAGTAATTTAGCTAATAATCTTTTTATTTTAGAATATTGTTTATGATACATAACTATAGCAGTTATTGTAACTTGTTTTAATAGCCAGGAACAGCTTGCTGAAATATCGAAAGTAAAAATAAAAAAATACTTTACACATTCTTTCTAAGTCTTGGATAAGTGCAAAAGGAGACATTGAAATTACTGAGCAGGGTCAAAGAGAAGAGAGAGAAGAAAGAAATGCAAGCTATCACTTCCTTCAGTTATATTAAACAATATGGAATCATTAGGAAACAAGGTCGATCAATACCAGCCAGAATACTGGTAATGCAGTATTGTGTTCCACTGAAACATGGCACCAGTGTGTGTCTACATGGCTTTCAGACCACAAAAGCAGACATTCAACAAGCATAAGTGCACGTGAACAGGGGTCCGTTTCACGAAGTAAGTTTCATAAACTCAGATTCAAATCCAAAACTCTAAACTGATTTAGCCTAAAGTCGGGAACTCTGAGTTTTCGGTTTCACAACGGCTGCTATGAATTAGTTTAATCAACTCCAAGTAGAACCTCTCAGAGTTAGTCGTGGGGAGCGAATAAAGTGAATGTGATTGGTCGTTTATCAAGGGGGTGGGATTGTTGTGGCGGAAGGTTCGCAAGCAAGTTTGATTGTGACCGGTCTCTCAGAAGCATTGTGCTAACCAGTTAGCAACTTCGTGCCAGTAGGTTCCCAATGGGAAATTAAATTGGGAACAAGTACTGTAGCACTAAATTGGTGACTTTGCAATGACACTGTCAAGGAACGCTATGGAAAATGAAAACATAAAAGAGGAGGAGAGTTTCGGAGGTTGTGGATGAGTCTCCTCCATCATACATTTTGTATTTAGAGGAGGAAAGCAGGGACGAATTTGTTGCGGAAGAGGACGCCAGGGCAGCAGAAACTTTGTTTGGTGTAGAAGGCTTAAAGCCGTACATGTTTGAGGCCTTACCTCGCACTCTGCCAGTTCTGTTAGCTCTACGCCTGCCAAAGACACAGACGTCCATTGAACACTGGGACGGAACTCAATGGTAAAATAAATTATTCTTATTTCAAACATTGCGTATATTAGCTCCATATGAATGAAAAAAAAAAAAGAATCAAGAAGCTATGACCGAAAAAATTAGATTGACAGATGACCATTGATATATGATTGGCCGAATTTAGGTGTACAATCTGACGTATAACTAACTGGCCTGCATAAGATAAAGGAAAAAAAAAAAAACACAGATTTTAAGACAGGATTTTTTTTTTTTTTAATAGTTTCTAACTTTTGGGACAATATCGTCTGATAGAGTCTGAAAGAGTCATTATTACAACAGGCAACAAGAAATTCCTTTTTACTGGAACTAGAGATTTTAATGCAGAAATGAAAAAATAAAAAAAAGGAGAGAAACAGAGCTACAGCTGCAAATCAGAATCAGAATCAAGTTTATTGCCAAGTAGGTTTGCACTTACAAGGAATTTGACTTGGTGTTGTTGGTGCAGAAAGGAAGTCCCTGTTATATGAATGGTGCAAAGGAGAGGAAGATGGCAGGCTGTTTTATCATTTATTAAAAGCACTCTGCTTTCCATTGTTCCATTTATAGATAACTAAAATAAGATTCTTCGTGATAAAAATCACACTCCTAGCCCGAACTGTAATAATTCATTTTCTAAATTACATTTTTTGTAGCAAAAATAAAAAAAAATTTACTAGTAAGAATAAATTTTTATATATCTAGAAATTTTTATGCATTTTAATTGGCCGTTCTGATATTTATCAGCTTGACTGAAAATGTATTTATCATATCTGAAATACATTTCCTCATAATCAAATTAGTACAAATGCTGACCAGTAATATTAGGAAAATGGAGATCTGAAATTCATTTCTAGACATCCAGAATGTTTATTCTAGATGTGGAGAATGTCATTCTGTTTGAAATGGTCATTTAGAAAAAGAAAAAAGTTTTTTTTCAGATATAAGAAATAAATATTCAGTAAAACTAGTACATACTGTATCAAAACCTCTTGCCATGGATGTTGTGACCACAATTATATTACGGATTGTTTCTTTAATGATAGTAGATCAATGTATCTATTCAGGTCAAATCTTCTGGCAGCAGCGAAAATGAAGTCTGAAAACATTGTTCTAATATATATAGAACCTGTGCATAATCTCAGGGTCCCTTCTCATGCTATTGACTCTTATTTTACACATTAAATACTAAGTGGCTGTTTGCAGAACCAGGCTCAGTGTGAGCGGCCATCTGCCGAGGCCGACTGGGGTTAAAGGAGAGTGAAGCAGAGATAGATAAAGAAGCAGAGATGCAAAATGTAACTGTTAACCAGCTCCACAAACAGAAAAGACATCAAGGCAAGACACAGCCAGGCAGACAAGTTCTGAGGCAGCTCCCAGGTGGATGAAGAGAGAACACCCAGTTAGTCACAGCCAAAGAAACAGGACTAAACTGAAAAACAGGCCAAACTCCAACATCTCTAAGCAGCACAGCTGATATTTCTATCCAGGATGGAGTCACAGCTACTATGATGAGAACAAGCAGAGAGCATAACAGAGGTTGAAATAACAAATACCTCAGAAAGGGAGAATAAAATGTAGGAGAATGATGAAAAAGGGTCCCTATGTCCTCCAGCAGTCTAAGCCTAAGCCTTAAAGCTCAACAATGCAATAAGAAAGACCAACTCTGTTCTGAGAGCTCCTCTGGAGATGATTTTACAAATAGGAATTATTCATGAAATAAAAAAGGAAGAAAATCCTGTGTATCCTCTTCGTCTGACTGTTGAACAACAGCCAAGCGTCTTCGTCAGAGGCTTCTCTTGACCCTTTGTAAGAAAGTCTGGTACAGGAGATCTTAATAGTCTATAGCTATTAACATCTACATATCATTTAAAAAAAAAAAAACTTGTTACAACATTTACTCACCATTTGGGATCAATAAAATATTGTTTTATTGAATTGAACTGCACAAATGTATTGTTTATTTTCTCTTCCCCACTTCTGCACATACCAATTGCAAAATGTTGATGCACCAAAGAAATGTAAGCAGAGGCACAGCTCCAGATTCTAGCAATGTCAACTTGAGAATAGATGAAATCACTTTTATTGGTAAAAATGTAATTAACTACATAATTGAGTTTTGCTTTGCTGATGTTTCAGGCTCAAGAGCAACTGCAAGCAGATGTACTCCGGTACAAAGCCAAAATAGAGGATCTGGAGAAGGAACTAGCCTTTAAAGGACAGGTGAGAACAAAATGATTAATGCTTCTTTAATATATGGATTTAATCTGCAATGGAAATACCTTTTTTTCCCCCTCAGGAATTTATAAAATAATGCCTCACACAAAACTTTAACTGTTTCATTATCATAATTTGGCCTTGGTAGATAATTTTACACATCAAAAATGCTAATAATTGAATTTAATACCATTTAGAATAAAATTGTAAATATCTATATGAGAATGTTTTCTGGATATAAACCAACTGTTGAGGCTCTAGCTGCATGATTTCTGTCATTTGTCTGCTGAAACTAGAAGCTCCACCTTAATCTGTGGTCTGTTTTGTGTCTTGCATGATTCTATCCTGGATTTTCCCTGTATTTACAATAGCAGCCTTTCAAAATAGCCCTTCCCAGGCACAAGCCAGCCAAATGGCAGCAAAATCCCCTCCAAATTCCAGCCATCGGAGCGACCCCCTCCTTCTTCTAGGAATGCATATTTTTTTTACTCTGACTCCACCCTTTCACTGAATTACAGATTCTGACCAGGAGATAACACTTCCCTTTAGATCTTAAAGTCCACAAATCATGACAGAAAGAATATTTTAGATGTTTACAAAGGAATTGTAGGGGACTAGCCAAGTGTACTGTACCTCCATTTACTTTCAAATGACCTTTTACTAGCTTTGCTCTCTCTGTTGGAAAATAGTAATTCCAAAGCACAATGCGTGTACAGTATTTGGAGTAATGTGTACTGCTACTGTCTCGCCACACGTTTTACAAACCTTAAAGGGCAGACTGTTTCACTTACTTTCTTTTTGCCACCTGGCCAACAAGGCTACTTTTGTGAGGACTAAAAGACACAGGTTTTCTGCCAGAGCTTTGGATCTATGTAACATCTACAGGTTCAATATATTGGATATTTAAGATTGCATGTTGCTATTTTACAAAAAATAGGACAAAGGTTCCCAACAAAAAAAAAGGGTGAATGCCATCTTCAGGTTTGAGGAGGATGTCTGCCTCAAGTGAAGGAATTCAAGTATTTTGGGTTCCAGTTCAGGAGTGAGGGGAAAATGGAGAAGGAGACACCAAATGGATTGGTGTGGTTGCTGTCGTAATGTGGAGACTGCAACTGTCTGTGACTGTGAAGACAGAGCTCCCTCAGTATACCCATCTGTCCACATTCCTACCCTCACATAAGGTCTCTAAATCTTAGTCTTGACCCCAAAAATATAGATTTTGGACAAGAATAGCCAAAATGAGCTTCCTCTGCAGAGTGGCAGGGCACTCCTACACCGTGCAATTTTGGCATTCAAATAAGACATGGAATGATACCCTATATGAATTATTAATCTTTGGCACATCAAATTTGATGTGTTAACATTGTATAATCACTGTTTACCTTTGAATCATTCATGACGCATAACACAGCAAATTCATTAGCAGGCCTAAATGCCAGTTTAGGATATGACATCCTTCTGTGCTACTAGAGACATTTAAATATATCTGATAAAAATAAAGAATTTGGACTCGGTTGTGGCTGGGAAAAAGAACACTAACTTTGGATGCTGGTTACTAGGACAATCTGAGGGGTACAATAACTCCCTCTATGGGTGATTACAAATACATCAGCCTACTGGATTAGACATGAAGCAAGCAAAATCAGCTGTTCAGCTGCATCTTCAATCTGTAGGATGATATGTCCTCAATGTCCTTTCATAAATACATATTAAATTAAAGTTAATCAAATTGTCTTTCAATATTCAGCACATTACAGTCTGCTATGGACACATACAGAAATAAATAGGGAAAATATTGTCTTTCTTGATATTAAGTAGGTCTTCAACAGCGGGTCCGCGACCCCTAGGGGGTTCACGGAGGTACTGCATGGGGGTCGTGAAAGTTTTGGTTGATAAGACATTTTTTTATATTTAAATTTAAATGTCTTTAAATAAACATTAACATGAATTCAACACACTGTAGTAAACAGACAAATGGAGGCAGAAGATGTCTACCATGTCAGTCATTAATGCACACATTCAGCGACACACAGGACCTCTTTCAAGCTGGGCACCGTTTCATTCACAACGCCTGTCCCATCAACAAGGAATCAGAATCAGAAATACGTTAATAATCCCAGGGAGAAATTACTTTCGTTACATTACTCCATATGTAATAGAGTGACTATAGGACCAGTTTGATATAACATAATTTCATGCACTATATATAATTAGGGGGTCCCCGCTCCATCTCGCCATCAGTTTGGGGGTCCTTGGCTTGGAAAACGTTGAAGACCCTTGCAGTAGGCTATAGTTAGAGAACAGGCAGGGTCTTTAAAAGCTGTCATTGGTTGTGACTGAACCCTAAAGTCACCTTAAAGTACAGAAACGAAATAATAAAGAAGGCCGGTTCTGTTCTAGGAACCCTTCTAGAACCTCTAGAGATAATTTCACAACAAAGAATTCTTCAGAAGATGATCATGGACAACAGTGACCCTCCTCTTCAGAAGATTATTAAACAACAAAACTACTGTGAGCAAACACTGGCATTCAAACGTAACTTCTGCTGGTTTGCTGCGTCATTGTCACACAGAAAATCTTATGAAAAACATAATTAATTCCAACAGGTAGGTTCCTCTTTCAAATTGATTGCATGTCAACATGCGCCATAGAGCTAAAAACATGTACACAGCGTCACTGTGTTGCCATAGCAACGACTGCTTTCCTTTTCCATTGGAGGGAAGAGGCCATCCCATGCTTATTTAAACCCCTCCATGCCCACCCCCCATTAAGGCGTGTTCCGCAGCTGCCAGTGTGACTTCATTAGGAGTCATACTTGATAGTTAAGGGTTAGTGTTTAGGTGGCTTTTTGGGATTGGGCCCAGCTGTGCAAAAAACACCTCTCTAGAGGGTCCAAAAGCCCTAGGTTGGTAGATTTACCCCCTTAAATGTGTATGTAAATGTTACCCAGGCTCAAATCCTTCAGGCTTTTGAGTGGCAATGGAAAAAGGTCTTATGTTTAAATTAAACATTTCAGGCTCATTAGACATTGCTGTGAGAGTCATTGGACGTTCTGTTAAGCTTTATCACTTCACCTCTTATTCGTCTTTTAAGCGGATTGTTATTCATGTCTTTTAGGACTCCAAATGGGTAGAGGAAAAGCAGCTTTTCTTAAGAAGAAACCAGGAGCTGCTGGATAAGGTTGAACTTCAACTTCTTTTGTTTGTAAAAAGTTTAGAAATATGTTTTTATTGTTGTCATAACAAATGAGGCATAAATATGAGGAAAAATATTGTGAGTTAACTTGTCCTTAATATATAAATGTAACTGTTTCTAGGTGGAAAAATTGGAGTCAGAATGCAGTCGGCTTGAGGAGGAGCTCCAAGACTCCAGGGACCAAAATGAGCTGTTGGAGTTTAGGATACTGGAGCTGGAGGTAAGTCATGTAGTTTTCCAGATGAATGTTTTTTTTCCTACACTACAATGATCAAAGTTTCCCAGAGTTTAGCCTGAAGAGACTTACACAGACATTGCTCAATAAAAAAGTCCTACATGCTCCAATTTGGTAAAACTGTCAGTCTTAGGATGTTTTTGGGCCATCAATTTGAGCATTATTAATGATCTAACTCTTAAAATGCAGTTTTTCTCAGAAGTCCTGTGAGTGTAACTAATGTTTTATCTACTGCAGATAATTGCATTTGACATTGCTCAGTTTTTTTTTTTTTTTATTTCTCTTTTATTCATGCGGCATTTTTTCATTTTTAAGAATAATCATATTAGTAAGTGGTTCAAAAATGTTTCCCTGTAAAAAGGTCAGCTTTGGTGCTTGTACTTGGTAGAGATGTTTACTAGTGGTCAGCAAAGTAAAATGAAGACTTTAAAAGTAATTGACATTAAAAAGAATTGACACCATTCAATGAAATAGTTTTTGACAGGAACAGGAAAAAAAAAGGGGATTTGTAATTATTTGCTTGTGGTTTTTATCAAATTTTAAACTAAAGGGAAAAACAACTAGCTTTAAAGGTATTTTTTTTATGTGATAGAAGCTTATGCAGATATATTTACCATCTCATTATTAAAGAGGAAAGAACCAGATTTATTGGTGATTTATTTATTTGGTGTATTTTGATTAAATTAAAAATGTTGTTGGGAAAAGAAATGATTCAGAGAAACCTGCTAAGAATTTTGCTGGCTTGATGTTAGCTAAAACTAATAGGTATATATTTTTACTTTTACAATCTCTTTTCCAATTAATTTGAATCAGATGTGATGGATCAAAAAAAGAAATACAGAAATAAGGAAGTCCTGAGAATGGTGTGCAAGTATTTTGCTACTTAAAGCCATCAGAAATCGCCTAATCAGTAAATACAGTCCATGAAGGTATAATTGAGAGAATGTTAGTAACCAAAGAGCATAAAATTAAATAAAAGAACACAATTAAGCCAGAAAATAAGTTCAAGAGAGGTTACACCATAAATAAACAACCATGTTTTAAAATTTTCATGAAGCATTGGTCAATCCATGATCTTTAAACTGAAATAATTTAATACACCTGCAAGATAATAATTACTATCAAACCTAAGGAATGCATTAATCAGAGTAGCCAAGAGGATAAAGGTAGCTCTAAAGAAATTGTTGGGAAATTTTGCAAGAAGCCATGTAGGAGAACACAGAAAACATGTGGAAGAGGGGTCTTTTGGATAGGAGAGACCATACAGTAGGTAAACTTTTGGGTTCAGATGTAAAAGATTATGTGCAGCAGAAACTAATGCTACACATCAACATAGTGGTAGTATCATTTGATTTATTTCTTTATCATAACTTTTGTGTGGTTTATATTTACTACATTTGAAACAAAAATTCATAAAAATCTTTAACAAGACTCAAACTGAGATCTAACTGTTCTAGAGTTACTTTACATATTTGAATAAGCAGAGGAGATTCTAGTAACTCAAAGGTGAGGAAAAAATACAGCTGTTACTGAAACAGATTTCTCTGAAGCTCTGACTGAAATACACAAGCTGAACACCAATTCATGCCACACAATTTTAGATTTGAATATTAAAAACGTGTTTACATACTACATATCTTTGTTCAACCTTCTGTAAATTTGTAGCCTTTGCGTTGTCATGGAAAATCCCGTAAGAAAATATTAGAGTTTCTGGTTATAACCTGAGAAAATGTGATTAAGTACAATTAGATTTTAGATTAAAATGTGTTTCTTTGTAGGAACGTGAAAGGAGGTCTCCACCTTTTAACCATTTGCGGATGCATCCGTTCTCTGAGGGAGTCAGCGCGCTGCAGATTTACTGCATGAAGGAAGGGGTCAAGGTGCATATTAAGAAGATCAACCAGAAATGATAAATATGTATCATTACAAATTCAGCACATTTACGAATTCCTGTGATCATATTTGCTTTTCTTCACAGGATGTGTGCATACCAGATCTTATCAAGCTACTGGATATCCTCGGGGACAATGGGGTAATTATGATATATCTAACTTAAGTGTGCGGCATGCAGTTGTAAATTAGGAATATTAACATAAACTTAATCTTTTTTGCAGAACTTGAGGAATGAGGAGCAAGTGGCAATAATTCAGGCTAGCACTGTTTTGTCACTGGCAGAAAAGGTAAAAAGAAATATATATATTTTTTTTTTGTCTAGATAATGAAGCAACTTCCATTAGGTACATACAGTTTTCTGTGTTAGACGTACTTAACTTTGGCTAAATGTCGTCCTCTAGTGGATTCAGCAGATAGAAGGGACAGAGGCAGCACTACATCAGAAGATGATGGACCTCGAGATAGAAATGGTGGGTCTTAAAAGATTTTATTTAACTAAATGACTAAATATGCTGGAAAAATTGTTACAATAATGAGAGATACCAGCATTTTATCCAATGAGAGAAGCTGATTCAAAAGCAGTTCAAGTGTTTTTAGATTTTTAGACTTACATTGTATTTATTTTGCTTTAATTTCACATTAGATATCAAAGCAACCCTTATTTGAAAAGCTGCAAATATCTAATACCTTCAAAGGCAACTTGTCCAGTTGCCTTTGAAGAAATGCAACTGAGCTAGTGACATCATTAACAAATATCTAAAACACGTTTCTTACCTTGAACACTGTCTGTTGTTACTGTTTATCTTTAATAGATTAAGGTAGCTTGAATTGCAACATCAGTTCAATCTCATTTGTGTGATAACGTCATCTGTGTGTACAGGACATGTTCTGTAAACAGAAAGGATATCTAGAAGAGGAGCTAGACTACAGAAAGCAGGCCCTGGACCAGGCCTACATGGTAAATCTAATTTGGTGCTTTATGTATACTTTGTCACTTTTTCAAAGAATGTACAGTATGTTTTTCATACTTAGCCAGACTTCCTTGGATTTAAAATTCTCTGGGATTCTGAGAGATTGTCAAAAGACTTTTTTGGCCTTTAGATGAAATTATCACCCAGTTTCTTTCTAGTAGATTTTACAAATTCTTCTGAAATAAACAGACTTAAAGTTAGGTGAGTTTTTGAGAACAGCAGCCTGCACAGAGCATCAATACATACCAAGTGGCCTTTATTAAATCATTTTATAGATCTAAATTTACATATAGTACTTTGGGAAAATCAGCTGATTGCATTGACTCATTGACTCGAATACAATCCCTCACACTAAGCATGCTTGTAACGACAGTAGAGAGGAAAAACTCCCTTTTAACAGCAGAATCAGGCTCAGTGTGAGCGGCCATCTGCCGAGGCTGACTGGGGTTCAAGGGGACAGAAGCAGAGATGCAGAAAGCAGCTGTAAAAGGCAGCCCTGTCCAGGATACACAGTCACAGTCAGAGAAACAGGACTACACTGAAAAACAAGGCGATCTCCAGCATCTATAAACAAAGGGGTTGATGGCAGCAGCATAGCTGATATTTCTCTCCAGGATGGTGTCACAGCCAAATGAGAAAAAGCAGAGAGAGCATAACGTTAGAGATTAAACTAACAGATTCTGCAGAGTGGGAGAATACTTTCTTTAAACAGACCCTTAGACAATAGAAAAACACCCTAAGAGGAAAATGACTAAATCACAATTAATAGAATGAAATTTGAATTAAAAAAAAGAATAAAAACCTGAAACCTTAAAAAAAAAAAGATTTTCTACTTTAACTACCATACCAACTTCCATTACATTTGAGTGTTTCCCTTGAAATTACTTCCTTTTTGCCTTTCGTTCTCCTACTGGACGGTGGACCTTTTTTCCAACCTTAAATCACAGGCAGACTTCCACAGATTCTGATCAAGAATATTAGCTTTCAACTTGAAATTTAAAAAGATGTTTCTGAACTGCATTTTAATGAACAAATTATACATTAAAAAAAAAAAATTTGAAAACTTTTTTCTGGGATATATTTTGATCATCTATTCCTAAGGATCCCCTTCTTAATTTTAATCAAGTATCCGAATAGGCAGTCTTTAAAAAGGTTAAAAAGCATTTTAATATTTTTATTATTTATAGTTTTGTTCTTTCAAGTTAGAGAGCTAGTTATTTGACTTTTGAAGGCGGTTTTTAGTGGCTACTATATGATGCATTCTCGTTTAACAACAATATGTGTAATAAAGGGAAATGGGGAAAGTATTGTTAAAAGATTGCAAGAAAGTCTGGCTCTAAGAAGCAAAGCCTTCAAGAAATTAAGACTAATCAATTAATAATGTCAATAAATAATTCCTTTTTAAATACAGCTATTTTTTTTATTTTTTAAATGCTTAGATTTGCTTGTGTTCGTATGATGAGTAAATTTATAACCGTTTTCTCAACAGCAAATCCAGGAGTTGGAAGCAACCCTATACAACGCCCTGCAGCAGGACAAGGTGTTTGATTTGATTTTTTTAAATGTTTTAATGCATCACATCCTCATGCTATGAGAAAAAATATAAAAGTTTAGAAAACTCCAAGGCGTGCATTATTAAAAACAGTAGCTAATTCATTCACTAAATCTGAACACATGCTTGCGATCATCCCTTTCTCATTAAGGAGGAGATTTAAAGCTATTTGAAATGGTTCTCCTAAAAAGATAAAAGCATTCATTGTCAAAACTTTAAATCACTTGAAGTAGTTTCACAGAGAATGAATTTAAGAGATGCAAGATCCCTGCAGGGCTCTTAAAATTTTCTCAGAATCTTGTGATTTCTTGAAACCCTTTTTTACATGGAAAGAGTTACTTATCTAAAATAAGTAAAAATTCATCTTGGACAATTTGAATGATTAGCAGGGATTTTTCTAATGCCAGAGGATTTTTCTAATGCTAACTGATGCCTTTGCACCAGGTGATAAAGTACGGCGAGCCTCTGAACGAGCTTCAGAAGGACGAGCTGAGAATGGCGGTGGAGAAGCTGAGGAGGCAGATGCTGAGAAAGAGTCGCGAGTACGACTGCCAGATCCTCCAGGAGAGGATGGAGCTGCTGCACCAGGCCCACCAGGTTCTTAATATATACTGAAACCTTAACAAAAAAAAGGTTTTCTAGGTGACTGGTTTTATTCATACATTTGTCTCTAAATAACAACAGAGAATCCGTGATCTTGAAGACAAGACAGAAATCCAAAGGCGGCAGATTAAAGATCTAGAGGAAAAGGTAATTGCTGATACCCCTGTGTCTTAAAGCAGTACTTACTAAGGATGTTGCTCACAGATTAAAAAGTTCAAAGTAATAGTTTAGACAGCCTAAATGCTGAACACATACTGACATCTAGTGGTTCCAATGGTGCTAGCGCCCTTGTGAAATTACTTCCTGTGACTGAAGTGCTTCCAGATCTTATGACAATATGTAAGATGGTGTATTATTTATCAGGAATTAAAGGGTTACATCCAGGGTAAAAATCTAGCGTATAATATGCATATAATCCGCATAAAAGATCAATCTTATTGCAAACATCACTTTGCAGCTCTAAACCCCAGTTTGATTTACAATGGCGTTCACTGTAAATCATCATTCAAGTTAGAGTGTCACATAGGTTATTATTTTCATTTAGTTTAATAAATACACTGTGATAATATTTCAAAGATTTCTCTGTGAGATTTTTTAGATCCTGTATTTGAAGCACATGGATGGGAAATGGGATTGAGGTAAAGGGGTGTCAAAGACGGAGGCTCCCAATATATCCCTGAGTTACATCTATCCCCCCCCTTTGATAATTTTATCACTTTTTGATCAAAGCAGTAAAAGAAAGCTACATTCCTTTAAAAAACTGGACTATGTAAAAAAACTTAAAAAAAGAAAAAAAACACAAATTCTTACACAAATATTGTCCATGTACTGTTAAGTAGATACACTTAGTATGTAGTTGGTGAAGGTTCTTATAAGAACTGCTGCTGTGTTAAAAGGGAGCCTGGGATCCAGGAGCCTTCAACATAGCGGACATTGTGTGTTCTGCTTTTTTAGTTTCTCTTCAAATATGAATGTATAAAGGAACAATGAATGTGGAAGAGAACATCTAGGATGTGGTATCTATGACTACAGATTTCAAGTTTATTAAAAGCAAACGAGCAGCTATTGAGCAACCCAGACAAATTGACGCATTGCGTCTTTGTTTAGAAATAAACACAGAAAGTTCTGAAGACCTCAAAACTTTTGGACTGAAGAACGCAAATAAAATATTTATGATAAACAGAGATATAATATCATGAATTTACCTCAATATAATTAGTCTTTTTTGGTGCTAATATGTTAAGTGTTCCTCTAATTCTCTGTCTTTCTTTCATTCTCTTGTTCTTTCATGCTGCAGTTTCTCTTTCTTTTCTTGTTCTTTTCTCTTGCCTTTATCCTTTGGCCTTGAAGTCTTTGGTGGCTGTAGCTGAGGTGAGTCCTGCTCTCTTTGTGTTCGAGCTAAGAGCATCTCTTCTCTCAACCTTTCAAAAGGAAAAGTGTTTTGAACAGCCGAAACAGTTTTCTAGAGCAACACCCTGACATGGGAAATTGGCATTTTGCAACGTCAGTGCTAATTGATTCAATAAAACAGTTTTTTGTTGTTCCCTGTCGTGAAACAAAGTGTAAACAGTTGTAGGTAATGCTGCACTGTCAGACAAAATGAGTAGAAAAGCTAAACTAAATCATTCAGTTGATAAAACATGACAATAATTATTAACACTTTCATCCTTGCTGCAGGAAATGTCAACATAATTAGTGTTTTGTACTTTAATAAAAGCAAAAATCTGCAGAATAATGCTTTTAACTTCATTAGAAGCTTCATCCCTTCTAACAATAATAACTTTATACAACCTTGGTTACGTTAATTCTTCCTATTTATCCTTACTTCATTTTTCTTTTCATTTTTCTTACTTTGATATTGTTTTCATCTAATATTTTCATGTAGATTTTGTTGTTTTTATAAAAATATCTGTACTCGTCATCTACCACATTGAGGGGGGCAGCAGTCTCTGCTCTAAGAGACTCGCAGACTTTCCTCAACCCAGACACCTCCTTCAGCTCCTCTGGGGGAAGACTGAAACATTCCAGAAAGATAAAGTTCCCCCAGCCTG